CCTTCTTAGTGGTGCATTTATTGTTGTTAGTGTTGCGTGGTAGGTTTTATCTGAGATATGAATCCGATCAACTGCAGTCTTTGCTTGGTCGATAAGCTACGACAAAAAATGCTTGAATTGCAGGTCTGGATTCATGATTTGTATAGCGAAAAGGTGATTCCAGAAACCTGGCCAATATTTGAGGTTCCCGTGAAAGCTCGTCAAGTGAAGTTTTGCTAAGGTCATAGATTGGAGATGGTACCCCGAAAAAAAAGTTGTGTCACTTGAAGGGTTCTGAGTTTGGTCATAGGTGACGGTCGCGGTTGATATTTGGATTGCAAGTTTTAAAATACCATTCAGAAAAGTGCTAACATTTTGTAGAATGTTGTAGCGTTTTTTTATTGTATTCCAGCTCACTGGAAGTTTTATTCCAGTGTTTAATTATACATTAATGCCAACATTTCGCTACAAAGACTTTAAATACGTCTGTTTTTAGTGTTGTTGAAAATGTACAATGGTAGTCACACTTGTCTATGACGCGCGAGCGTGCAGCTTTCTCCGTGGAGAGCTAGATTGGTGGGATTCGCGGAAACTAAGCTAGTCACGTGGCGCAACATGAAACGGCCCGCTCGAGGGGTGTCCTGCGCTCCCTATTAGCTGGCAGCGAACGCGGAAGACTGCTCGCACGCTTTTTACAACCATCATTGCTCGAACAATAAACAAACTAAAGCATGAGGTCGTATCAACAATGTCGTCATCAAAAAAAAAAAAAAATATCATAAAGCGCTTTACTTTTATTGCTTATCAAGCTGGTATAAGGCTTGCTGCTATGCAAAAAACAAAAGTATATCAATTGACCGAATTCAACAGGATTGCGCATAGTATCGAGAGAATCCTACAGGACAAAAGCACTGATCGTCGACAATGACACCACGAGTGCCGAAAGACGTCCGAACAAGAATAGTCGAGATAGGCAACCGGCAATGCTGTTTGGTTTGGCGCCATCTAGCGACTGAAACAAGAAATATTGGGTACCCCTGGGAGTGGCGGCTGCATTGTTCAAACGTGAGCTATTACTTTGGTGTCGCCGCTGAGCCTAGTGTCTGAAGCAAGAAATACTGGGTATCCCAGGAAGCCGTGATCGCGTAAAGTGCCAGTAGAGCGAAAGCTACGGCCCTGGTGGGCCAATCGGAACGTGACTGCCTATCACCGGAGCGCGCCTCAACTCCGGAGAAGTATCAGGCTTTTCGCTGCGTCATGCTCCAATATGTGTGTGTTGCGCTCGTATACGTCCCGCATTTCGAAGCCTTCGGCACGCAATGTGGGGCTTATCGTTCACCCTTTGCCAAGTTACAACGAGACACGCTATAACCGTGCTCTCTCTCTGCTGGCGCCGCCTGGCCGTTGCCGGTTGGCTATGAGCGAAGCGGGGTTGTCCCGGCTGATAGAGTGGGTAGGACACCCCTCGAGCGGGCCGTTCCATGTTGCGCCATGTGACTAGCTTAGTTTCAGCGAATGCCACCAGTCTAGCTCTTTCCGGAGAAACCGCACGCTCGAGCGTTATTTAGTAGTGTGATTAGCACTGCACGTGATTCGGAAATTTATCTTCTGTTGGATCGCGGGTTCTCAGAATCTTTCCCATATGCGAAGATGTCCAGTTGGCTGCTGGGCGAATGACGGTGCAGGTTTTCGTTGCTTGTTCTATTACAGTAGGTTATGAGGTGAGGTCTTCACCTAGATGGCTGAAGTTAGAGACCAAAACTATAGCTTTGTTACGTTGTTTAAGTACATCTGAATGTCGCTGCACCCGATATAGTAACGTGTTTGGGATATATTTTGTGTTTCGCCGACACCTAACATGGTGATTTAACCGTTCATGCTAACACTAAACCTGCTAAATTTAAATTCAAGATAGAAAAAAAAAGATAATCGAATTTTGTTGCATAGCAAATTCAAGAAGCAATAATCAACGCAATCTGAAAGGTACAGTCCTGATCGACTCAACTCAAGCGCACCACCACGCGTTTCGGTTTTCGCGGGCGGTGCCTTAGCGGCTGTCAGTACGGGAAGTTGGTGACGTGGCTTCGGGCAAATTCAAGTGTGTGGGGGGAGTGTGGTAGCCCCAGAGCTTGGGCACCGCTCCTTATTTCTACACTCGCTGACAGCTCTAGGAACGCAGGCGTATCGATGCCCGAGCATCTTATTATCGCTCCTCGACCAACGAGATGGCGACATTAGGCAATAAGAACGCCGAAGAGAAAATCTCGAAGTTCATTGACCAAAATAATCAAACAGTTCCAGTTTCGACATAAATGCGCGCATCGAAATATATCTCTACATATTTTTTTGTGTTTATATCACCAGATTTCGAAACCGGACGCAGGAAGAGCGCAGGGCGGTTCGTTCACTATAACGCATAAATCATAAAAATGTGACGTCGTAGTTTCACACACCTCGTGCTTATCTCAGCAGCGTGTCCTCGGTGGGTGCGCCAATGTCGCGTTTACCGCGATAACAACGAAGCACCGGAAATTAGTGCGTCCCTCTTCTAAACATGATTATGGATAGATGTTCCAGCGTTGTTTCTGCATCCAGTTTTAAAATAACTTTTCAGGATGTACAACAAAAAAACTTATTGTTGTGTATTCAATGCTACTTCAAAAACTATTTAAATGCATTTAACCTCTAAACTGTCGCCAATGCTATACTTCCAACATCATCATAAAAGCAATGACGCAGAGTTTTACGTGTTATGTTTTATTAATTTGAGCTAAATGTAATATATATTACCTGTCCGTAGTGAACCGACCGTTAAAAAACGCCAGAAAAGGTGGAACTCATAGAAAGCCTTCATTTAGAGTTGGAAAGTAATTGCTCGTTGGCTAAAAGTAGTGTTAAAGACACGATGTTAGAATGTAGTATTGATGCAAGTTTGATGCAGAAAAATTACTGTAATATTGATGCAGTGAACTTATTCTAGTTCATATTTCATTCCTCTCATAATTGGTGCGACCTTGCAAAGCACTTTTATTTGCTTAACGCAACTCTAAGATCATATGACATGATGGATTATTGACCCATTTGCCCTATTTGATGCTGAGGTAAATAGTTCATTAGGTCGTTTTAGTATGTAATCAATATTATCACCATGAATTTATTTAATTACATGTATTAAACACAATTTACGAGTATATAAATATATTTGTGAATTTTTAATCTTTTACAGAATGTAGCCTGTGGGTGATCCCCGAGAGAAGAGGGGGACCTATTCCAGCTGTATGCTCGCAGGCCTACACTGATATCTGTGGAGATCGAAGGCATCAGATTGATGATCCTCAACGTTGCCGATAATTTTCTTTTGAGACAGTACACAATAAAAATAAAACGCGAAAAATTGTCATTCATTATTTTTTGAGAAATACATAGTCAGTGTCTTCAACAATTTAATGCGTATTGTATAATTGTTCCTCAGATATTTTATTGCATCGACAACAAAAACGTTGTCTTATTAGAATTACTGTCTGTATAACAGTTGCTGCAATTATTTGACTTGCTCGTTGAATGATTTTGTACTTAAATTTATAATCAAAGACGTCGGCGCTATTCTAAGTGCATAATGGAGAAACTACTCGCCGTATCTGTTTTGCTTTTTAGTTCCAATAATCGGTATGAACGTCAAATAAAAATTGATAAAAATGTAAAATAACAGTGACTCGCTCGATGGTGTCGTCCTGAAGCTTCCATCAAACTGGTGTCACTTTTGTAGTACCGCTGGTATGTCAAGTCTTATAAACATGTGGAAGCCCACAACGTTTGGAAAAAATTCGAAGATTAAAACATGCATTATGGAAATGCTTTAAAGACGTAGAGAAATTTAACATAAAAAATATTTGGACGTAAGTCTTTTCACGCCGGGAGATCAGTGAATAAAAAACCTTCCAAACTGTTTCTGTTATTTTATTAAAAACTTTTGGAACACCTCATTAGAATATATAAAATGTCAAAACATTTTACCATTTCTTTTGTCTCTTCACGTACGTTATAAGAAGTGTTGGCTTTGTGTTCAATTAAAACTCAAATTTGTTTTTTTTTTTGTTTCGTCTATGCTGTTTTATTAGATTTTCACACTTTGCAGCCTTTCATATATCTTTTCAGAAAAAAAATTGCTTTATTTCCAGCTTTTCAGCCGAAAATGTTTAGAAACCTTAAAGCCGTTTACCGCTTGGCGCCAAATGGCGGGCTGCAGCAAGACGTAAAAAGATTTCAGGCATATTGTTGTATCTTTTCCGCTGTGCTTGTTAACTGACATGCACTTTATATGTAACTGAACTAACTACCATTCTTACACACAAAGAAGCTACAATCACAAACTCCGTAAATCAACCATAGCCCCGCGATATCTTTTTTGTAGCGTGAGCTACACTGGCTGATGTTGAGCAGTTTCGCGTGGCTCTTATAATGAGCCGTGCTCATTATGCGAGACGTGCTCATTATGCGGAGCGCGCGGCGGCGTGGCGGAACTCCGCATAATGAGGACGCATAATGAGCACGGCTCGCATAATGAGCACGGCTCATTACGAGAGCTACGCGAAGCCACCGCCGCGCGCTCCGCCGCCGCCTCGCCCGCCTCGCCCGCCTCACCGGTCTGCGCCTTCCAGAGGAGGGACGTAATGGCCATGTCAGACGCACTGGCGCCGCCGCGTGTCCAGCTGTGCGCCTCCGTTGCGCAGTAGCGAAGTCTGACGCTGCACCGGAGCCGCTTGATAGCGCCTCTCATTTTGTGCGCATAAGCTCACGCTACACTGTTAAAAAAAACCGTAAAATTACAGGGAGCGCCAACGGGACCAGAGCCGCTCGCGAGCCGTCGTTGCCGTTTCGCCGTAAACCCCTCCACCGCACCCGAACGAACAGACATAGCCGGCGCGCTGCGCAAGCGCAGTCAATGCAGCCCTTTTATTCGGAGAGGCTGAAGGTCACGTGAACTTCTTTCCCGCGCTTCCGTGGGACGCTGTCCGCGTGAAGGCACCCTTGGCGCATGCGCAGTGAGCGTGTCGAGGCAGATCCCGCGCAATTCGGCGACTTTGTGGACGTGTTTTTGGTTCGCCGCACTCAAACCTGGAGATTTCACGGTAAGTGCATTACATCCCCTTCCTTGAACTGTTTGATGAATACCTGTCGCACCACTGTTTTCTTAGATGAGTCGAGCAGTTGTCTGGATTCACTATTATGCATTGCTCGCCACAAGCGTGTGCAGACGATGTGCGCCTCGCGCTGGAGGTGCGTAGCGTTTAGGGTAACGGGGTCTTTGCCTTGTTGCTTTCGAGTGTTACTCTAGCATTATCACGAGACGTAGTGTGTCGGTGTTCTACGTTTTTCTTGCTCCCTTCTTAGTTAAATATTATTCGGCTACGTGAAACGCTCTTGGATTAGCGCTCCGCTGGAAAGGCAGAGGTCCCTGGTCCGGTTCGAGGACCATGCACGCCGATTTTTTCGGTAGCTGCTTGTTCGACATAACGTGCTGTTCAGGTGCAATTTGTTTCGAAACATGCAAAGCGACACAGTGCAATGAGGTTTCAAGTGCCCACAATAATATACTATATACGTTTGACCGAAGTGTAAAAAACTAGTGCCAAAATTCCTTTTTTTTTTTTGTTCGTTTGTGCCGAGCCGACATTTAGCTTCCGTGCACTCTCATATTGTTACGGTAGACTTGTGTGGATTTAGGAAACTTTAAATTGATCGATTCGACCTTCGTGTCTAACACTGCCAGTACTCAAATGCTTTGCAGTACGTCTTTAAGTCCGCGGTCTTTTTTTTTTTTTTTTTGAGTTCGTTGAGTTTAGTTTTCTCCATTCCTTGGTGCGCTACTGTGTAGCGACGGCGCCGGACTCTACGTAATGAGTCATGACTGAAACACATTTGCGAAAAGCGGCCAAATTGTATGAAGAAATCGCAAACGAAAATCAGACAGCAACTCCTATTGCCTTTTTTTTTTTTTTTTTTTTTTTTTTTTTTTTCGGCGGGGCAACCCGGAGGGGGACGGAGCGATGTCGCAACGTTACTTCGGGAGTTCCGTCCGTTCCGTCCCTCTCCGGGTTTTCTACGCTATGGCGCAGCCGCGGCAGCCGCCGAGGCTGGTTGAGTGTTTCCGCGGTTTTTGATCAGCTTTGTACGAAGACTGATTTTCGCCAATCTTTGTCGTGTTACGTGTATGTGGTGAACGGAGCATTGCGGAGACTGAGAATTATGTGGGCTGTTCGCTGTGTTGTGGCATTCGGGCAAAGCAAGATCGCGGTGAGTTTGCTCGTGTACAGTCGGCGGTACAAGTTTGCGGGGCGCGGGAGCGTCAGCCGAAATGACTGGTTGCGCCTTCTGCGGCGCGCGGCCGCTCTCAAGATTCACGCTTCGAGAATGTGCTTCCTTTCGTGCTCGAAGCCATGACTTTTTCGCTCGCTTCCGCCCGACGTGCACGAGATAACCGGGGACCGGCGCAAGGTGCCGCTGTGACAGCCCTCACGCCGCGCGTCTGCCTCAGCCACCGTGGTGGGTGACGAAACTCGCGCATGCTACAGATAACATTTCGCGGCACCTTGCGCCAGTCCCAGTTATATATCGTGCGTGTCGAACGGAAGCGAGCGAAAAAAGCATGACCGCGAACAAGAAAGGAAGCGCGTGCGCATAGCGTGAGTCTTGGAGCAGCAACGTGCGTGAGAAGGCGCAGCCAGTCTTTTCGGCAGGCGCTCCCGTGCCCCGCAAACTTTTGCTCCCGACTGTACGTCGGCCGATGCTCGTGTCGGTGCACATCTCAATCTCAACTAAACATCGAGCGCCGATTGTGGCTGACTCCATGCATGTAAGAACGAATTAATCTACCAGGAACTTCGTGAATAAGAACGAGGCAAGCGTGTGGCTGTAGAAGGATGTCGTGACCGGTGGCATACGTACACTGGTTTCCGCACGTTGCTTCTGTTTACTTTATCTGTTGTAATAGCAGTCTTTGTACCGGTGCGTGAAGGCCTCGGTTGCTTCGAAAACCAAAGCTGATACAGCCAGTCTCTTTTTATCCGATGATTCTGTCAAGTCCTAATCACGGCGTCATATATATATATATATATATATATATATATATATATATATATATATATATATATATATATATATATATATATATATATATATATATATTGAGTGCACGTTTGGTGTTGTTTGCATTAATTTTACTGCGGAGGACGTTGCCTTTTGCGCGGGATCAGTCTTCTCGTGTAACTTGTCTCCCAAATTTGCGTGCAACAATTTTTGCACCCTCCGATTTCCGTTCTATATTCGGTTTCTTTTCTTGTAAATGTGTTTCAGCCTTAACATTTTGCCGCGGCGCAGCTCTGTTCAGAGAAGAAACGGTCTCAGCACAGCAGGGTGCACGAAGCGCGTCGTGTGTTTAGAGAAAAAGAAAATGAAATTGGGCAAGAAATGATTTGGTAACTGCACCGTAATAAGTGGCTGCCAGCAGTGGAAAAAAAAAAAAAGAGAGATATGTTGCCTTATAGTTGGAGTTAAGTCATCTGCCTTATTGTAGTATTTGAGGTAGAAAGGAGAACAAACTAGATGCCTGGGCCGGCTTGCAAGAGACAGCGTCTCGGTTGAGACTGCTCAAAGAAAGCGCTGCCAAGGCTCGGGCGCGCGAGCATCTAGGACTCGGTTTAAGCTCTAGCACTAGCCTTGACAGCGCTTTCTTTGAGCAGTCTCAACCGAGACTCTGCTTCATGCAAGCCGGCCTACATATCTAGAAAACCAATTTTCTGCCCCAAAAGGTGGTAAAAAAAATGTGTCACATTACTGTGCAATTGCGGGGCGTTAGCGTGAAACATTTTCGCGGTAGACTGCAACACAAACAAAAAATGTGAAAGAGCAAGAAAAAAAAAAAAAAACAGTAAGTCCAGCGCGAAATGCTAGGGAAAGGAAGGTGGGAGTGGAGGAAGCAGATGGATAGCTGGCAAGGAGAGGAGGAATTTCCCTTGCCAGCGTTGTTTACTTACTCCTTTCCATGTTCCTTTCCCTTGCCCTTGGCAGCAGTTTAAATCAAATAGCGCTGCGTCGTCCTGGCTTTCATTGCACTGCTCAAGCTATGAATGACAAGGCGCTATACCATTCCAGCCGAGCTCTGTTCACCTGACCTCTCAAGCTAGATGCACAGAAGCGAAAACCTAGCCAACCTAGCCGAACGTTTCACATGACAATTACTGCGGCCATTCATATCACTGCCCAATGTTAGCATGCTAGACTGTAGCTCCTCATGGCTCGGGCAGCCTAAAAGAACACGGAAACATAGTTTTGTATGTTAAGACTGGACGACAAGACGACACGCACGCTGCAGGTGTAGACAGGCAGGTGCAGGTGTTCTATCTTTCTGGTGTAAATAGAAACATTGCCTTCAGATTAACACAGAACATTGAGGATGGCTGTTTTGTACTTCAGTTTAAACACAATGTTAGTTTTGAAACTTGATGAAAGCTCACGTTAAGTGCTTTATAATCCTTACTGTGTTAATTTCTAGATAGGTGTATGTTTATGCTGTGTGTCATTATCTTCACAAGCACAGTTGATTTAATGTTCACTGACTTCAGTTGTGGCAGGAATAAAAAAATTTGGGGTCAAGGATTAATATCTTTGGATTAGGACTTCGCCATGATTGCTTAGAATATTGGTAATGTTTCAGGTACCTTTATAAAAATGCAAAGATCATGTGTTTAAGTACAAAATCGTGGAGAGAAAAATGTTTTTTTGCAGATCTTGGGACTTAAAATAGACCTTCTATCCAAAAAAAGAAAGCCAAATTGTTCAGCTCTCATGTCGTCTTAGGATATTGTATTTCTCAGGGTCCCAACAAACATGTTCAATATTAAATCAACTTGAAATAAACCAAGCACTCCTTTTTGGTTATAGATGATACATCACTGCAAAAGATGCCAGAAAAAGTGTACATCATTGGACACATTCTTCAAGCACACATTATATCATGAAACATCATCAAGAGGTGTTCCATGCAGCGTTGTCGGCTGTGAGGCTGCATTCAAAAATTACAACTCATTGCGAAGCCACATCACAAGGTGTCATTCTCCGCTTGCACCTCGTAATGCAACTAACTTCCAATCCTGCCGGACATGCAGTGTTAGTTCCTGCAGTGAAGAGGTGAGCCCTGGAAAGGCTTTTATCGAGCACCTCAAAAAACATCTCACCGGCAACCCGCCAACTGTTGTAACTTGTCCAATTGATGCGTGTGATAGCCAGCTTAGGACATGGGGTTCACTCATGACCCATCTTTCCATATGCCATGGGAATGGAAAAAAAAAATCAGTGGTGACAGAGCCAGTAGAGCAGGATGAAATAGTGACGTCATGCTGTAGCAAGGATGACAATGGTCTGGAGAACATTAGGGAAAAACCAGACGTTGAGAGTGAAGTGCCTTCAGTCATTGATGATGTGGATCCCACTCACTTGGATCAAGACTCTTTCCTTTTTAAAAAGGCAGAATATGTTCAGTTCTTTGCAAGAGTCACTCACTCCTAAAACAAACATACACTATTATGCTCATAAAAAGGTGCTTTGAACGACGAATACGATTGCTACTTTCACCATACAGTGGTCCTTGCAGATTTCTTTCCCTCAATATTTTGCTTTTCCCAAAAAGGTATTTTGATTACAAAGATTTTGGATATGAGGAGTCAGTGATAACATGAATTTTTTAAGGCTTACAGGTGTCTGTCTGGACGGAACATTGAGCCTGCCCCAAGATGTCCTCCTCCTCGTGACATTCCTATGTTCAAGCCCCAAAAATGATGCTGTGCTCGAGTGGAGCCTCAAAATCAACAAGGCCGAGGCAGAGTTCAAAGATCAAAACGCAGCAGCTGTCTGCCTCCTCCCATTGCTTGCATCCTACTTTCAAGAAAACCTCGGAGAGCTCTTCCAGTTACATCAGGTAGGAGCATTCATAATAGCCAGGTTATTTGTTTCCAAAGACACATCCTCATGACCTTGTTGAAAATAACTTCCTGGAAGTCTCACACAGGCAGTCAGCATTCCACTGAGAAACTATGCATCTGGAAATACTAAACTTTTCTTCATTTTTTGAAATTTTCAGCTATATCAGTCTTCCTGTATACCGTAACATACCGGTCATGCACCTATGTCCGAATAGGCGCCTACCTAGTGATTTTTAACCATTGGAGCAATGCCTTGTACTCTTTCTGCAGTTTCGCTTTCTGAGCGACCATCCCCCCACTTTTTCAGAATTGTGTGCAAAATCTTTGTGAACGCTTTCTTGGTATCTGACGACAATGCTGATAATGAGCACGTAAAAAGTGAAATTACTATTGCTCTACGAGGAGCCAAACCTTCCTTAATCTTTTCCTGGCTGAGGTGGCTCAACTTATTATACTTCACATTAGAGTGCAATGGGAAGATATGCAACTCTAGGCTGGGTCATCTTATAGTATGTTCTACATAAATATTTCACTAAACCAAAGGGGGAGCGGCGGTGGGCACCCACTCTTGTACCACTTGCTTCTAATGAGTTCACATGATGTTTTGCATTTTTGGGATCGAGTGTTAGAGTTAACACAAAAATTATGCTAGAGAATTAACTAGTGACAAACGTTTGTACTTCCACTTCGACTCCTAAGTTAGGATCATTTGTTTTTAATATTAGCAGCTTCCTTGTCCCGCAGGTGTAACAATGAGGCTTTGTGACAGATATCAGCAGATACATTGCTGCTTATTTAACGTTGTTTTTTAGTTGTTATTGAGCGTTAGGACAACAAATGTTTGTAGTTAAAAATGTCCTTATTAGTGAGAAAATAACAGGAACCGCATCCTTTGATCTCAGCAAACGCTATCTCCTGTAGGTGGGATGAAGGGTTAAAGGAAATAAGGGTGAGATGAAAATAAAGTGGGTGAGACGAACCTCTTTCACATAAGTGAGGGGTGAATGGAGAATAGCCTTTTGGTATTCCCGAATACCCGTGGGATTAACAGACTCTTTCAAGGTTTGGGGTTCTTGCATGTGTGGGCAGTACCAGGAGTGCGCTTCTGTGACTGTGACCTCGCAGTGGGCGCATAGGCTCTTGTCTTTTTCCTGTGTATGGCGGCTTATGCACCATGTTCTTGTGGGTGTTACATTTTGCTGTTTCCTTGGAAACCATAGTGGTGTGGGTCCGTTGTCTTTTCAGGCGAACCTCTTCCCACCTGGTATAATTACCATCTGGGAGTGGGTCTAAGTCTTCTTTGAGTAGAGCCATGAGGTGTTTTCAGTGGGCCTGTTGTTTGGCTTCCTGGGAGAATAGGGGATCCTTTGTGTCTTTTTCAATGAAGGCGGCGCTGTTGTCACCAAGGATAGTAAGGATAAGGGAAGACAGGAACTCGCATGCGGCGGCAGACACTGTTTTATTTACTTGGGAATGGTTTGGTGTACCAGGAAGCAGTGGATTTAAAGTTGTCGGCCTTCCTGCCAGAGTCCTTTGAATGTGCCCCACACTCGTTGTGTGTTATCTCGGAGCTTGCACCTCAGTTGTTTACGGAGCTTCTGGGTGTATTTTTTATCTTCACCGTGCTTGCATTGAAATTGGCTTGGAGTTTTCAGTCCTTATTTCTCCTGTAACATTGTTGGGCTTGCAGTCTGATAGCACACAAGTTGAGGAGATGAAGGTCGGGGTCTGGGTCGTCTTGTTTGGCTTGGTACTTCTGAGTGGATGTGGCTTTCATTATTCGCTCACCTAGACACTTTTTCAGGTGCTAGGTTAATGAAGCTGATCTGTCATTTAGTGTTGGGGTGTCTTTCTGTCATTAATTCTATTTCGACGGGTAGGTGCTTGCTTCCCAAGGCGTCGGAGCAGTTCGCACTCGGGCTTGGATGTTGTGTATGGCCCATGTCAAGTCTTGTGGTGTCGTTCTCAGTGCGACGTTTGCCAATGCGAATGGCAGTCTGTTTTTCTTTGAGAATTCATAGATTGGCCTGCTTGGCGGGTGTGAAGACATTGCACTCTCTGTCATTGTCTCGCTTGTATCCCCATATTCGTGCATCTGCGGTAAAGTCGCCGGCCACGATAAGTTCTTCGGGCATCATTCTTTGCGATCCGCCTTACGTCGTCTTGCTTGTGTCCCACAGTTCTACATTCTGTGGAAATAAATATAGACCCATAGATGTATGGTACCTTCACTAGCATTTCGTGCATTTCTCAATTAACCACACGTTTTCTGACTTTTCTTAGGTGATAACAGAAATCACAGAGGAGTTTCGTAACAGTCTGCCTGCTTCTCCTGTAATTGTTGCACTGGGTGAGCTTCATGTGTCTTTTCCTTGCATGCTTTGTATTTTTGAAGGTGCTTTCTTTTTTAATTTGTGTTGAATTTTGGAACAACAACCTAGACCGTTTTATCGTGGGTAGTGCCATTTTCAGAGTGAGAGAGAGAAGAGGGGTCAGTGCAGATGACTCCTAGTGACTCAATTGTAGTGGGATACTGTAGTGATGTAACCAGAGTGCTAGAATACTGCAGTGGTGTAACCAAAGGGTGGTGTGCCGATTTTGACCAGAGCTAGATAGACGACCACATTGTTTGGTTTCGGCAGCCTTATCAAGCACCAATGTAAAGCACATGTCCTGGTATTATACCATACTTTGACAATCAATGTTTGATTGATCCAGCAAGAAAAAGAGAAGTTTTTATTTTGGTTTGTGAGTGAAGGTGCCACAAAACGGCATACAGCCCAAACAGCAGGTGCCTGTGAGGCATTTGATTGTTTGGGCCTGCATTCTGTGTCTTGTCCAACCCAAACAGCCAAATTTTCCGCTCGTAGAATGTGTGGTCGCATGCGGTCTCCGGTCATTTAATTTCTAGCTAAAGCAATTTAAACGAAACCGACGACTGGCATTGCACGTTGGCATCAGACTTCCATGCTACTGATTCTGTTCACAAACTCAACAAAAAGTGTTTGATTCTACATGCTCATATACAAATTTTTTGTTTTGTTCAAACCTTCAGGAGCACTTTGCATAACTTAATGTCATTACTGGGTATGGTAGCTCAACACTATTTAGTGCGACCCTTATTTGGCTTGGCATATAAGGTGTGCCTTATCTGTGATTGTGATGCATCTCAGTCTCAGATCTCAGATATGCGTCACAATCCTATATCGGTGTGCCTACCTATTCAGTGTCCCTGCTGGTAATACCTCTATAGAAGTTTCCAGATGCGAATATGACAATGGTATTTTTTTCTTCATTTAATGCGTGAGCGTTAAAAGCCCTATTAGAGAAAAAGCCGGCGTAGTGGTGTCGGTCGCATGACTTTTCTGGTCACTTGACTAGATAGGTCGATACATCTGATACTAACACATTTTCTCCGCATTAATTACATTAATCGCTTGTTTCTTTCCTAGGCCGCTCACTTTTCGAATGCAGCTGCCAGCTGTTTGTGGACCATGAGGTGATGGTGGAAGATGTGGGCTTTCTGCAAGCTGTGGAGCTCCTTTTCGCCCTTTATTATTGTTTAAACATCCAGTATGCCAAAGGTGCGGGAACCACACTTGAGTTCATTCAGAGGTATGGTTTATTTCCTTCATAATTTTGAGCCTCATGAGAGGCAATAAAGAGCAACTCTGCTGAATTTTGGCTGAGAAAACGATTAGTTCTCTTTATAATCATCTAGGAAGGCTACAACTGAAATCTTTCTGTATATAAAATTGGACCCTCAAAGTTTGACAAGCGCTAATCTGCTAATTTTAGCGAGCGATGTGCAGGCTAGCCAACTTTGGCACTTCCTTCAGATGTGACATCATGTTGATGTCTGTTGTATACACCGGCTTTTTTCTCTTTCAACGCCATCACATGTCCAGTCAGTTCAGACAACACTACCTAGAGGTGACCCAGTGAGTGGGGTAAATCACGGAATCATGCATCTGCCATGGACATGAGTGTGCATGCAACTGACGTCGCTGCTTGCCCTTTGCAGAAGTTTCGGTTTCAATTTGCGACTTGAGTTATAAATAGCAAAGTTGCACAAACAATATTCTACTTTTCGTGAAACAATGTAGAGTTGTTCGTGAGTGCTTTTCAAAGTAAGGTCATCCACTATCTTGAAATTTTCTAAATTGAGTAGAGTTGCCCTTTAATTTGTCACTGGCTACCCACATTTCCAAGCTCAATTTCAGAGTCCATTATTAAACCGCAATAGGGTGTTGTATTCTTGGACCACAGAATGAATAAAACGTGCTCAGGACGAAGGAGACGACAAACATTTCTTTCAACTAAGAACAACAGGAATGAACTTAAGAGCACTCCGTGCATTTCAGACTGCCAAGAAAATGGAGAGAAAGGGAGGCAGGAAGATAAAAAGGAAAGTGTAAAGTTAGAATTGTAACTCATGCTGTTACTTCACTCTTTTTCTTATTTCCTTCCTTACAATTTTTGACACTTACCTTTCTCTCTTTCTGCCTCCCTTTCTCTCAGTTTCCTTGGCGGTCTGAATTGAAGGAAGTGCTTTTAAGCTCATTCATGTTGTTAATTAAAAGAAATGTTTGTCGTCCTTCGTCCGGGTATGTTTTGTTCTTTCTGTGGTCTGTGAATTTTACCAACACACTCTTCAGTTACTTTAAAGGTTGTTATATCTTGCATAATAATTCGATTTAAAAATTTCACCTAATGTTACAATGTGACTATGTTTGATCCTATCCCAGAAATCACAAATAAATATGTCAATATATCTACTATTCCTATTGTTTTATCTTTACTGAATGTGTCATTTACTTATAATTCTATTTGGCATTCAGTTAGAAGGCAGAGTCATAAGCAGTATACATCATTAAATTATTTTTGGCTGGAAACAAATTGGAGCCTCAAAATATGTTTAATATACTCAGCTAATTATTTATTTAAGAGTTTCTTTACTGCACCACACTATTCTGTATCACTCTAAAAGTGTCTAGAAGTGATATGTGCAGATGATCTCTAATTCATCTAATTCATAACTAAATTTGACTGATATACAACCTTTTCACAACTTTTTGAAGCTTTATTTCTGCATGTTTTAGTAGCATGTGGTTCATGTTTGATTTTGTACCTGAATACCTTTTTCTCGTCTTTATACATGTTTATCAATCGTATGTTCTTTCGACAGTGGCTGGCCAAAATGTGGCTTCCAAAAAAAAGAGAATGATTCTCTTACAACATTCCTTTTGCCATGTCTGGTGCTTTTAAGCAATCATTAACAGCTAGTTGAGTATTTTAGGTCATTCAACTGTCTGCAATACTAATTATGCAAATGAGTGCTTGCTTAATTACGAGTAGAAATGCAGAGGAGGAATTGCTTTGTGACTGTGTAGGACAACAGACAAATTTTAATGCTGTATTGTAATAAAAGAAATAAGCACGAAGCAGGGATGGGCAAAATACATGCAAATATGTATCGAAATACAAATACAAAATGCTTCGTCAAAAATGTATTTAATTACAAATCTAATTACTTTTGCAAAAAAGTATTTAAGTACAAGATACAAATACAGACAGAAAAGTAGTTGGTCTCTTCCAAATACTTTTCCAAATACATTCCTTAAAATTTGCGTCAGCGACTTCAGGGCACCTGCAACAGGTTTCTGGGTATCTCATTTTAATTTTGCATCGCACACTCGGGAGTTAGTGCTCGAGGCTCTAGTAACGTAATACAAATATAATCACAAAAAAAAAAATGTAATCAGCTTGGACGTAATAGGTGAAAAAAGTACAGAGCTTCAAGCAGTTTTTTTTTTTTTTTTTTGTTGATTACATTTTGGTATAGACAATCAAAGGACCGAGACGACCAAGACGCGCAGCACTAGCTACAGATTTTTTTATTGTTGCAACTCGCACCAGTTACAAACATCTGGATGACCTGCACATTTAGAATGTTCGAGGCAAAAGTATGGATGGAAATCAGGCTGGAAAGCATCACAAGTTGTCACTGTCACTTATTTAGCCAGTCTGCCTGTGAACGTCGATTTCGTCACTATTCTTTCCCTGGACTAGCATCGTAATTACAAAGTCACAAAACGCTTGTGCTTGATTGAGAGACACTGCATTCGGTGCAGAACGTAGTTTTCTTCCTGCTCTGGACAGTGACAATAAATTTGAGGGATGTATTTTCGCCCGCAAAATTGTATTTAATTACAATTGTATTTGAAATACACACATTTTAGTATTTAAATACACACATCAAATACATTACAGAATTTTTAATTAAATACAAATGCAAAATACACAAAGTATTTGAAATACGTAGTTCAAATACTTGTATTTGAAATACTGCCCTTCCCTGGCGCGAAGTATGTACTTGTTCTTCTGTTTATGTCGCTGCTATAAAATTTACTTTTGTTTGCTTCCAAAGCTTCTCCCAAATGACTCAAATCAATTACATCGCTGTCTGTTCAATATCTTTTTAAATCAACATGTTTTTAGTGTTTTGTAGGTCTAAAAGTTACATATATGAATCCTACCCCTTAAGATGTGCCACATGGGGCTTATAACTTCTGAAATATTCCGAGTTCTGTATCCCCATCGCATCTGAGTGAGGGAAGCCTTGAGTGCCAGATTTTCTCCTCTGTCAGAAAAATGACACATTATTACAATATTTTTTTGTTGTTCCCTCATTGTTTTATTTTCCTCAAAATCTAGGCATGAATTTGTACCTTGACATATTTTCTTTAAGTGCACAGTCTGCTGGCCTAAATGTAGGTTTTGCTCAGCTTGTTATGGCTTAATTGTTATTTCAGGAACCTTCAACACACTTATACATTTGAACTGTGCACCTATGTGACTTGGGTGGCAAAGCTTAGGGCTTTCGACATTAGTTGTGCATGTAAAATATCAGCAAGTACTGATCCCAAATCCTTCACTGCAATTTTTTTTTTCACTTGTCTGGTTCCTGACCAAATACTTATGGGCCAATCTGCTATTTGTTTCAGATACCAGGTTGGTATCAAACAACATGATGGGTCACGGCAGGAGGCCGGGAGGTCGAAAGGAGCTCGGGCAAGAGCAATCAAAGCCGCCACAGATCTTGCTGCTTTTGAGAAAAAATGGAACAGTGAGTACATATTTGATTTGGCATGTGTACGATGTGGTATCAAAAGGTTTCCAGTCTTGTCTTGTATTAAAAAGAAAAGCAAATGGCGGCACAACACTGCATTCACAGGGGTCGAGGGCAGCAACCTTGATCTGTCATGGTGCTGAGTGGCTCAATGTGGCAATGCACAGGCGAGTTGGTGCATGATTATAACTGGTAGCCGCATGCAAAAACACACGGACAAAGGGACGAATGCACAGGACTTCGGTGTTTCCTTTTCATTAAACATTTAGTTGAAGTTCAGCGCTCGCCCTGTGCATTTCCTCCCTTTGTCCTTGTGTTTTTGCGCGCTGCTACCAGAGGCTTAGAGCATCGCTCTGTGAGCTTGGGAGCCCCTGCTGTACAGGTTTTTGTGACTTCATGTGCGTGCGCCTCTGCAATTTGTGCAAGTGGTTGTGGTCCTCCCGTAGCCTTTTCAATCATCTGAATATGAATTTGTTTTATTTTCAGCTCATCTGATGATCGATCGGATGCCGTGAAGGTTTCTTTATAATTATGTTCTTTTACGGTTTACAATATAGTTCTTCAATTTCAAAACTGCCTCCGTTTTGTCTTGTCCCTTTTTTCAGACACACTACACTTGTTTATAAGGATTTGTCGTTATATTACGGAACTGTACTGCGCTAACTCATGATGCCAGACGTTATCTGTAACCCTCCGTAATACCACCAAGGCCGTAGCTGAGAGTTCACATTATTGTTACCGTACAGCGAGCACACAGCGATAGAAGTGCAGTACGCAAGTACGGGATTAAAGCTGCAAACTAAACTTGAGGTATGCAAGCCGTCAAGCGTTCCGACGGTATTGAAGGCGTAAGGGAAGGGTACGGTAACTGAACTGTTACCGTTACAATACGGCAATGGAAGTGCAGTATGAAAATACGGGACTGAAACCGTACCCTTCCCTTACGCCTTCAATACCGTCTGAACACTCGACGGCTTGGATACCTGGAGCTAAGTTTGCGGCTTTAGTCCTGTACTTGCGTACTGCACTTCTATTGCCGTATGTCTGCTGTACAGAAATGATAATGTAAACTGTCAGCTACGGCTTTGGTGGTATTACGGAGGGTTACAGATAATGTCTGGCATCATGAGTTAGCGCAGTACGGTTCTGTAATATAACGGCACTTTTTTTAACAGTGTACATATATCCTGGCATATAGCCCAGCTAAGCCACAGCGATTTTTTTATTGGACACGAGAATCAGAGCATACAATACTATGTCAGTTTAAAACAAAGCAGACACCTCAAGCTCTTCTGGACCAGCTTAAAACATTTTTTTTTCTCTCCGTATTTTGGATCGCGTCAAACAAATGAGCCAGTCGAGCGTAGTGTCCGCAGTCCCACTGTACACAGACTGACAATGAGTGACAATATCAATAAGTGTAAATGTACTACCTTGATTTGGCGGTGAACGTGTGGAAATTCAATTTGTGTTTTTACTATGATATATAAGTCTAGCGCAATTGAGATTTGAAGCGGTATGTACAGTGGACGTCCAAATTTATCTACATATTATTTACGGCTTCTCTTCATTATGGTGGTTTAACTACACAATGCAAGTCAAGCAAAATAATTCCCATACACAAATCTCATGATCGCAATAGCCCAGCCAATTACAGACCAGTTTTGTTGACTAGTACTTGTTGTAAACTTATTGAACACATAATCTTCAAACATATAATAGGTTATTTTCAAATGAATAATATTCTAATCGCATTTCAACGTTGTTTTAGGAAATCCCTATCAACATTCACATAGCTAACAGAGGTAGTGCATTCTTTAGCCAGCTCGATAAATAATAAGCGACAAACCTATGTAATTTTCCTGGATTTTTCAGGCTTTTGGTCGCATCCCACATCCCGAACTATGTGGGAGCCGAGGGTGACCGACGAGTAACAGGGCACGTGACAGGCGGTCGTCGGAGAAGTCACGAGCTGGCGCGAGACAGTGCGAGCTGAGCGAGGCTGGAGCTGGTCAGGAACGTCGGAGCCGGGCTGCCTGCTCTGGTCTATGGCGTGGCGAACCCCAGAGCGGTTCACCAGCGAGGTCTGGAGCAAGACCGGTGGAAACGGCGAGCCCTGGCCATATGGCCTTGGCTATGACGATCCGGGGGTGGTTCCGCGGCGAGACTCGGGCATTGATAGCCCGGGACATCCAGCCTACGCAGCGCTGGCGTGGGAAAAGCGACCCGCAGGCCTGGACACGGACTCCAATTGTGAGCTCTGATCGACGGGTGACAACAAGGGTCGGCGTGCCTGGACTTCCGGCTCTCAACGACGGGCAACCGGGAGGTACAGTAAACCCATTCGCTGTCTTTTCGTTGTGTTATGTCACTCCCCGGGTGATGGGCGGAACGCATACCGATAGGGCGGCGATTATTAGTAGAGGGATCTCCGTAAACAACCCCACAACTACTGCTCAAGTTCTCTTCAATTTTCAAAAACAAACAAATATAAGTGGTTTGATGCATACTTATCTAAGCGGTCCCAATGTCAACATCCTCGAAAGTGTTCAGAGGAAAGCGAAAAGATTTGTTCACCACAAGTATGGTCGCCTTGACTCCCCTACAGAATTGCTGAAAATATCAAGCCTAGTGACTATTGCTGATCGCGCAAAATTAAGAAGACTCAAATTTGTGTGTCTCCTTTTAAACGATGCCTTTAAATAGGCAAAAACAAGTACGTGAATTTTCCCCAGGCCAGAACAACAAGGCATACCCTACTGAAAAAAAAAAAAAAAACATTTGAAATTTGAACTAATCGACCCGTTTGAATCAAACCTGTCGATCCGTTCGAATCAAACGTGATTATGGGATACGGGTACCCGTTTGAAACGCTATCCGTTCGAAACGGTACCCATTTGATACGGATGCCCGTTTGATGCAGGCGCCCGCTTGATACAGGTGCCCGTTTGATACGGGTGCCCGTTCGACCTGGCACGTGACCACACGTTTGAACGTGCATCCGGATTCGCTAGACCTAAATGGGTATGGTCTGGGAGGTTGATTATTTTAAACTGATTTAAGACGTCCCGAAACTCATAAACGTATTTATAACATGGAGAAAACACGTAGAACAAATGCGCTCGCGTAGGTGCTTGCAAATGGACAGAAAAACAGACACAAAAAATTGTTTTCAATTCTCCTCAAAGTTTATTATCTCTCCTGACGACAAGTACAAACGTGCAAGCGATTTGTGAAATGTGCGAGGCACTTTAAGCTTTTACACAACTGAGAAAATTGCAAAGCAAACAAGAATCGAGGTAATTCTAGACTATACAGCTGGACTTTCGGGGAAATTATTCTCCCGGCTGCCGCGTGAATAGGCGCTGCATAACTCTACGGATAACCTGGAAGAGTACGCGTACAAAAGCGGTCAATCGTTGCCAACACGTATTTTGCAGTGCACTTACCATAATAATAGCGGACTTGAAATATGTAATCCGTGATATTTGTCGTCACGGTCAAAGCAGGACAACCACACAAACACTAGAACGTGAAGGAAGGCTCCTTGAAGTTTCAACACGATGCGGCGCACAAGCTGTCATTTGCCGAACCCAGCCAAACCGCAAGAATTCCTGACTTCTTTGAAGAATCGCTTGTTGCCGATATACGCGTAGGACTTTTCGAACGTTTGGTGCACATCCCATACGTTGTCCAGAGACATTCTTATAAGACCGCAGGGAAAGGCGGCAGATCGAAGCAGGCAGGACAAACGAAGTTGCAACGGAAAACAAGCAGACAAAGAAACAAGCGACTGTCATCGCGCGCGCAGCCGGATCCTGGCTATGCTTATCAGCAGGGTTGCCAGGTAGTTTCTAGCTCAAACCGCCAAATGCCAGACGGTGTAGCCCAAAAGTAGCCAAACGCAAGATATTTATGTAGCCCAAAAGTAGCCATATTCTGCAGAGCCCAAATTATTGTGCGCTGCAACGTCTGCACATCTGGGGTTTAGGAGCAGCTTGCAAGAGCTGACACACGCGTTTTTAGTTACATAGTTATGAAGCACTCGCTCGTGCCCTGCTTACTCGCCTCATACATGATTTCTGTGTTAAAACGGGCAAAAACTTCTTCAGTAGGGTTGATGTGCTTACAGCACTCGTTCTTCCCAAGGAAAGCAAACTTTACATATAGGACGTTTTGAAGAGTTGGAAGGGACATCCTATTCCTTAGATGTGACCAGATGTGACTTTGTGAGGGACACATGACTGAATACAGACCGCGGCATTCGACGCTGCTCATGTCAAATGCCACGGTGGCATTCGACATGGGCAGTGTCGGGAGCGCGATGACAAGCTCGGATAACAACGGAAACACGGCTGCTCCTGCGCATCGATCTTGGCCTTGTTCGGAATGTTCATTGTCCCAAATCTGTTCTTTTTTGCTATGGCTCATTGTGCTTTGAGAAACTTCCACGTTTCGCAGAAAAGCCTCCTTTGTTATATCCGGTACAGCACGCGTTATCAGGCGACATCAAATTCTGCAGGAAGTTTTGAGTTGCATTTAGTATCATTTTTCCTCGGATGAGGTGCCTCCTCTAGGAGGATGCTGGGAAACTCGATTAAATAAGAGACGCCAGTAGGAAGCAGAAAGAACTTGGGAGCATAAAATAAGCCACAATTATTACAAAAGCGATGTCGTGGAAGCTAAATCTAGGTCACGGTAGCTCACGCCCACGAATCTTCACGCAGCGTGGACTGTCGCTTTGTGTCCATGCTGAAGTTTCTTTTGTACATCTACTCTAAACCAAGCCCAAAAAAAAAGAAAAAAAGTGCCGCATTAGGATTTGAAGTAGCCCAAAAATAGCCACATAGCCAACCACCCAATTTCGACGCCAAATGCATTACAAAGTAGCCCAATTTGGCTATTAATAGCCCAACCTGGCAACCCTGCTTATCAGCGTGGAGCGTGCCCTACCCTCTCTCTGGTCACGTGACAGAGCCGACCAGAGGGGAGGAAGGGGGCGACGGCGAGGTCAAGGAGCAAGACACCGGGACACACCACCCCCCTCCCTCGCCAACCCTATTTTCATGCATTCTATAAACAAAACAAAAAAAAAAACAAAAAAACAACAACAACAACTTGCGGTTTGCTTTTCGTGGCAATGCAGTCAATGCTAGGGGAGAGGGTGCACGGACCGCTGTACACGCGCTTTCCTTCTCTCTTGGAGTTACCACTGCACGTCGCGTTTGCAGCCTTGGAAAGCAGACGAAACGCGCGCATTTCAGCACGCACGCTGGAAATGGCGTCGGCCATGAGCTCGGCTTGCGCCCGAGCCAAAAAAGCACCCAGCACGAGCTCGTGATTTGACTGCTGCAACGGCGGGCGTGCTCTCGCAATGCCCGATGCTCTTGCAGGCACGTGTTCGCGCTACCTTCGCTGCGTCTTGAAATGAAGTGAAACGGACTCTGGAAGTACATTCTTTCATGCGGTCGCGTCTTTTGCGAGAGAGATTCGAG